TAAATTAGGAATAAATCTGTAAGGATTAGAGTTATACTTGACTATAAAAATATATCAATTTCTGTGTTTTAAAAAAGCTATCTTCCCAAGTAAAATAAAGCAGTTGAACCAATAATAATTACCAAAAAGTACCAAGTACTGAAGCATTAATATGTGAAGAAGCAGCCATTAACGGTGTCCCAGTCATGGGCCATAATCTACCTAAGAGCCCTATGGAAGAGTAGGGAAAAAATGGGTGCATTTCCATCCACTATGCCAAAGAGCCTTCCCTAACCACCCCCCATCCCCTCACACATACATTGTTTTAATGACTAGGAGTAAGTATAATTGCATAGGATTATGTGGGTTAACTAAAAAAGAATTTATTAATACAGTCCAGGAGCCATTATACAGTATTAATTTCCTTGGATTTCATTAGTTTACCTAATCAAATTATAAAATGCACCAAGTCACAAGGTATTGACTTACCACCCTATGTATATATTCTTAATATTAAAATAATCTAGGATATGTAAAGTCCCCCTTGCTTTTCCCTTTTATTATACCTACATTTTGATTCATCTGGACCTTTGTCAAAAATGAAACACAAATGAAAGGTAAGTCTCAAACATAACTGATTAAATAGTCAATAAAAGCAAAAGTGTCCTATATAAAAGCCTCATCTATACATTTTATTTGTAAATCTCTCTCTACAGAAAACTTTAATAAGCAACTACTAATTCAAACTTTGCATGTCTTTTTAAAAATGAATTAAATTTATAATCAATAGCAAATCTCTTATTGTTAAAAGCTTTTTAAAGATCAGAAGATTCTGGATCAGAAAATTTTTGTTTATTACTTGTATTTATATTGTATTTATTTACTATTTTATCACAGGAAAATAAGAGTTATTCTGCAAATTTAACTTCAGTAATTATTTGGTGGTGACATGGAAGTATATTCACCCTAAGCACACAGAGAAGCCTCAACTAATACATCACCTTCAAACTAAGTTCTTTGAAGTTCTAGAAACACAGAACTAAGAAACTAATAATTGACAATACTAAAATACTTGCTTAAAGACAAAGAATAAAGCAATTATGAGACAATTATTTCTAAGAAATCACATCCATGAGAAGCATTTCAAAATTTACAAGCAAAGTTTACTGGCAATGGGTTTTTTGAAGGAGACTTAAAAATCTAAATTTTATACTTTTGATTTTTTGGTGTAAGAATGTTTTAATCTAAACAAATCATCACTGTCGTTATCAAAAAGAAAATCTGGCAAAAATGTTTTGTTTTATTACTTTTACAGTCTGAGTTAAAAAGTTAAAAATGCCTAATATATTAATATTCCTCTAGAGGAATGAGTCAGGATATATATACTCGTAATTGTACTCTCAGATAAAAGGACCAATTCTATCTGGCAACAGATAAAAAAGACCATGCTAGCCTACCATTCTCTAATTTACTCATAACTTGACACATGTAACTTTGCAACAATAAACTATAGTTTACACTGTGAATTGTGGAGACTTTCTTCCTCAGAATTAAAGCAGGAAAAAAAAGGCCTCTCAGGGCAGCAATCTTTGGTTTGAACTAATTCTAATATGAGAAATTTGCAATGGACAAAGGTTTAAAAGTGTTTTAAAAAAATGTTTCCCAATGATTTTATCAAGGAAATAATCACACACCTCCAACCCCACTCCAATGATGCCTGGCTGACAAGATTTTGTTTTTAAAGATTAATTAGTTTCCTTATTTGTTATACCAAAAGTCATGCTTCAATCTAAATCTCATAAACTATGAAAATTAAATGACTTTCTAGGTTAGGTATATTTATTCAAAAACATTTTAAGTCCTATTATAAGTAAATGCTCATAGAAACATGTGAGAGAGTAAGAAAAACCCAGTATTCACCAGTATTACAGTACAGCATGGGAAATACCGACTAGTACATACACTACAGAAGCAAGAACAAAATTAGTAGGAATCTTAAAAGAAAAATAGTGATTATTCTATCTCCCCCTTCTCTCCTCCCTTTTATTTTTTAGGGAAATGGTGGTTCAAAAAACAATAGGGAAGAGTTCACCCTTAAATTCCTGGGACCTGATGGGGGGGCAGAAGAAAAGCTACTTAAGAGATGAATTTAGTAGAAGTTTCTAGGAAAAATTGGCACAGTATAAGCAAAGGTACTGTAACATCTATTTAGGGAGTTATATTCAATTCTAAAGCTCAAAAAAATTGAGTGTATCAGTGATCGGAAGGCCATGCAAAAGATTTGAATCTAAACCAATTTACATGCAATGGAAAGCCACTGACGGGTCTCAAATATGAAAGAAACATGACTGGATTTCTGGCAACACACTGTAGGAAGATAGTTAAAAAGACCACTGCTAGCCTCCATCTGATATTGAAGGTCTGTACAAAGCAACAGGAAGAGGACAGACAGGATATGACAATTAAAGCTAATCATGGTATATAGAAGACAAAATCCTGGGTAGAGTGGGAGGGTGGAGAATACCCTTACATGTCTTTTGTTTTTCTTTTCATTTAAATACATAATTTCATCGTAAACCCAGAATCTGTTAAAAGATTCAAAGACCTGACATATAAAGATGAACCTCATTACAGGAAAAAAAATAATGAATCTACAAAAAGGTTTTTTAAAGTAAGCCGTTTAAAGGAGAGACCAAAACACTACCATAAGGAATAAAAACAGCTGAGATTTAAATAATGAAGCTGATAATTACAGTGGAAAAAATTATTATAATTCTAACTGCATGGTATTTCTTAAAAATAAAGAAAAACCAAATATTGATAGTATAACATAACATTTGTTCCCAGAATATTTAATTTCCATATTAATCTTAAGGGTCATTTCCCAAGAGCATTTAAAGGCTACATCATTTCTCCCACATGCCCTCTCAAACTTTAAAAGATATTCAAATTACTTGTTCTAAGAAAATGAAGAAAATACCAAAACAGTCTTTTGAAGAAAATATAGCATTTGCCTATTTTCTCTTCTTCAACTGTTAACGAGTCTAACTCTGCCAGAGTCTCTTTCAATAACTTTACATAAGATTTTAATAGTTTTACAGCAAAGTTTTCACAGACTTCATGAAACCCTTTATCTTTTATAAGATCTGCTACTTAATTTTACAATACAACCACATCTCATCTCTTCCACCAATAAAACCCTAATCCAAGTCATCATCTCCTCTCTTCTGGACTGCTGCAATGCTTCCTAAACTTCCCTCCCAACCTCCAATGGCAGGGAGCTGACAGGGACAGAGACAGCCTCTTTACTACCCTTTATGTGGAGCCCCAGTAAACATTTTAAACTTTAAATCAGATCCTGCTTCAAAACTCTCCCATGACTTTCTATCATTTTTACACTTCACTTCATTCATGTGTCAGCTTAAATGTCACCTCCTTTGAGAAGCCTGACTCTCCAAACTAAAACAGAATCCTACTGCAATCCCCTAAAGTGCCTTATTTTTCTTCCTAAGGTATTACTTATATGTTATGTACTACCACTACCACTACCCTATATATTTAGTCTCTCTTGCAACTTCCACACACACAATCCCCTAAAGGTAAGCTCCATAAGGGCGGGGACTTTGCCAGCTATATTCAACATCTAGAAGAGTGCCTAACACATCAGAGGCATTTAATAAATACAGCCAGTCAAATGAATATAATACTATATTGTCACATATTAATAAAAGCCATTAGAGATTGATTAACAAAGACCTGAACACAACAGGTAGAAAAAAATGCTACTACCAAACAGAAAGGGATACAACAATGGACACCACCAGTTTATTAGTAAATATTTTGTGATATAACTTTTGCTTGCCTTCAGTATCACATTATTAATATTCCATTGACAAAGATCTCATGTGTTCAGGAAGTAAATGCTAAACTTAAAGATAATATACCATAGACTGAGTCATTCCCAAGTATATCAAAGAAAATAAAATACAGAGGAAAACAAGCTGAAAAAGAAGCAAAGTGACCCCAGAATCAATGAGAACTCACAATGATTCTTCATATGATAAATAGGAAAAATATCAACCATTTCAGGGATGTTCTTTAACTAGAACATCCCCTGTACCCCTTCCCCTACATATAATACCAAACTAGACCCACCATGGTCTTCCTAAAATGACACAGGCTCTGAAGGCTAGTGTAATCTCTTGAACTGGCATTGGACTGCCTATTTATCTGCATGTTATCCTAAAACTGTCTGAAAGGCTTCTATTGGACCTTATCTTAAATGGTTTAGCACACTAAAAACATGTAAAATTGCTATTACTTTAAACATTTCAAGCAAAAAAGTTCAAATAAATTTAGATAGTAATATTTCATCAAATAGAACTTTAGAGTTATAAAGGAATACAGACATTCATTATATTTCACACTTACTCAATGAGCCAGTCACTACTGCTACTCTAAAACCTAGAGAAACAGTCATAAGCAAGACTAATATAATCCTACTTAAATAGTACAGAGAAGACGACTAAATTAATAATGGAGAATTATGAAGAAAATGCCAGGGAGACTGTAGCTAAGAGATCTACCTAATGCTCTCATTTTAAATCTGGAGAAAGTGATCTGCCCAAGAAAATTCAAAAAGCTAGGGAGAAAGGCTAAGGTTTTATTTTACCAAAATTTTCCTTAATATTACCATTTCATAATATCAAATTAAATATTTTTAATGTCATCCGATTTTAATTCACATGATATTTAAAGCTACCATTACTTCAAGAAATCCACCCAACTTTTAATACAACATGGAATTCACAATATTATATTCTTCTCACTAACTGTTCCTGGCATGAAAATTCAAAGCATTAAGGAAACAGATGGGCCATGTGAATCTCATTTCTAGATCATGACCAAAAGTAATTTCTCAGGGGTTTTGTACATTACATGGAAAAAGATCCCAAGAACTTGCACCATATGTGCACTCTGTAGCATAAATCCTAAGCAATTACAAGTTTGAAGCTTTGTACCTGTGTGATGGAGAAGGAGCTTCAAATTGAGGCACTGTGCTATCCTCACTGACAGGAGAGTATAAGCCGCTCATTTCCTGAAAGTACAATTATTTGAGTTATAGCAGGCGCTCCAAACAGAAGATGTATTAATCAAAATATGACATGGTATCATGTTCCTTTCCAATCCCAGATCTATCAGTCCCTTTTCTCTCTCAACATCCAAATTTCTCAAGACTTCTTCATGGAATGCAAAAGCAAAGAAACTAAAAAGTTAAGAGACAAACCTTTTCTATGGTACACATTCTTAAAGAACTGGTAACTCTTTAATAAATACTATTCATCACTAATGAAATCGCCAAAAGAAGAAAAAGACAAACATAAATATTTTAAATGAGATGTACTCTATGTGAACAGTGAACTAGCTAATTAATCCAGGTGAGAACCTATTGATAAATATTAAGATAACATGACAATATGGTAACTAGATCATTAAGTTCAGCTCTCTGAAGTCCAGAAAAACAGGGTATGTCAGTCTCTAAAAATATCCTCTGCAAACATTAAGTAGCACTCCTCTTGATTTAAATATAATCCTTCTTAAAATAATGAGTTAAATTCTAACTTTGGTCACTAACTCAGAGGAAAAGGCCTTTCAATCAACTACTACTGCATAAATTATGCCTTGGAATGATAACAACCTGCCCTCCTTTTTTAATGTAGTATTTGATTAATGGGAAAACAGCAAATTTTAAAATGCCACCAAAGATGCATATTAGTAGAATTATTTCTGTCTAATCCAAGTTCAGTTCAATTACACAGCCAAACAAAGGACATACAAAGTAACAAGTTAGGAATGTCACATAGGATGCTGAACTTACGCAAAATATTAAACTCAGTATCGTTTAACAAATCCTACATATCAGCAGAAGAAAATTACAACATGTGAATAATTTTTAAAATACCTTAAATTTAAACATAGCTGTAGAAAATAAACCCACATCGTAATAGTCTATGAGCCTCCCAAAGATCTTCCCATGGATTTCTATTAGTAAACTGTATTAGATTATTTGTATTGTGTTGTCCTGTCTCTTTTTAAATTAACCTTAGCACAACAGATATGTGTAAAAAACTATTTACTTAATAAAGAATGGAATTCTGATATACCACTTTAATGGTAGTAACTGAGGGTTTTGCAGAAGTTGATTTAAGTTAATATGACGACACACCAAGAAAATTGAATGATTTTTTCAATCTACCAGAGAAAAATTATGGCAATAAACACTGTGAAAACAAATTTAGAGTACCTTTTATTATGAAAAAAAGTGTTCAAAATGCACTTTCTACAAAAATGCACTTGCCATTAAAATTAAAGTAACATCTGTTACTTTCCATATAATGGAGACTAACTCCATAAATTTAATGCAGCAATTTAAAGGAAAAGTGACAATTTTATGAGATTGAAAAACTTCTAGAGATGTGAGAAATTCCTAATATCTTACTTCCACTCTTTTAATATCCTCTTCCAAAACACTTAGCTCCTTCTGGATCTGTTCCAATTGCTGTAGATAAAAGAGAGGAAAAAAAGCCTAAACGAAACCACATTGGCATCACCATGATCATAAAATAACTTAACATTTGGAAAATGATCTCTGAGAAACTGGACACTAAGGGTAAACTGTTGGGATGAAGAACTGCCATCAAAAAGAGCTGCAAGTTCTATGTTAAGAAGTAAATGTAAAGCCTTAATATTTAAGAAAACACATTGTTGTAACTTCTTTAAAACAACAATATGACCTTGTGATAAAAATGTGAAGGATGAATAATGACAACATGACTTAATAAAAATACAAGATATCCAAAGAACTTTCAAATTACTTTGTCAGCAAGTCAGTTTTTAACCCATTTTAAAAATAAGAAATAGATCCCACCACCCAAAAGCAATCACAAGTTAGCATCTTAACATTTTCCTCTTTCATGTTTTTAAAAACATAGTTAAGATAATGTTTTATCTTTGATATCTTCCCTATTGCATCATGGCCTTTTTCCATGCGATTAAAATGCAAATATTTTAATTGTTGTCACATTCAAGATATATTTAACCATTCCTCTCTTACTAGAGCTTTAAGATATTTGCAAATTACCCTAAATCTGGAACTTGTGCATCTGCATTTCAAATTTAAGACATTATTAAAAATGAAATTATTATATCAAAAGAAATAGGAAATATTCACTATAAAAAATAGAACTGCTTTCCAAAAACACTACACAAAATTTCTATCACCAGTATATTCAAGTGGCTGTCTTAATCTAATCCAAATATAATGAACAAATTCTTTAAATGTAAAACAATAATGAACACTTATGTCATACTCATTTAAGATTAAAATAGGTACTACTACACATAAGGAAAATGAAGTACACAAAGGTTAAATGACTTGTCCAAGATCATTCAGCAAGTGGCTGAACTGGAGCTCAAATCAAGGTAGCCTTTTGAAGTCTATATGCTTCTTCAAAGCATGATGCTGTAGATGCTGTACTGCTGCTTGAAAACAGTACCTTATTACTTAACTTTCATTTCCTTAATGACTGGTCAGGTAAACAGACATTTTAGGTTTATTAATATTAGCACTGTCTCTTCTGTGGCAATATATACATAATTGATAATATAAATTGATTATGTTAATTCAAATATTCACCAATCCTAATCATTTTGCTAAGCACCAGAAAGAATAGGATTTAGGAAACTATAGACCTTGTCTTCATGGATCTTAGTCAAGGGAAGATGGCAAACAAATAAACCAACAGTTGAAAGATCACAGTAAACATGATGATGGTGTATACACAGTAATTAAAGGAACAAAGACTGCTCCTAACCTAGAGGGAAAACTCAGGGAGAGGGGAAAGGCAACTGGAAAAATGAAATTAAGTCTGAAATTAGATAAAAGGCTGAGCCTTAAAGGACTAACAGAATTCTGCTAGGCAGAAAACAGTGGGGAAAGACAGAAGAAGCATGATAAATAATAATATATACAAAGGTATAATAGCTATGAGAAAGGAAAGTAATAAATCTGAAGCTATGACAATAAATGTCATAGTGGCCACAAGACCAGGAGAAAAGACAACATTCTAGGAAAACATATACATAGGAAACCATGAGGGTGCGGGGTGTGATTAACAATGTCAAATGCTTTTCCACTTGCTTTGATAAACTTTCCTCCACCCTAAAATTTTTCACAGAATACTTCTACCCTAACTGAAAACTTGGTCTCCCTCAAAAACACTGTCTGTCTTGGGAACCTTTCAAGTAAAAGCTGGCCAACTGATAAATTCTCTCATGCCCCAGGTTTCACAGGACCAGATGGGGATTGGATTCTACTACATTTCACAGCCACTTCCAATAATTAGTCTTCCACTCTAATATAAAAAAACCACTCTGGTCTGGCTCAGTCTAAGAAGAGCTACTATGCTTAGACATCTATGAACATCCCAGTTATTTCCCACCATCACTGAAGGTTTTTGCCTTTTTGGCTCATGGGTGTTTTCAACTCTAGTAACCTTAAACTCTAATTTAGCAAAGTTTTCACTTGAGTACCTTGAAATGCTCCCCTCCTGAAATCTTTATTTAAACAAATGCTGAGAGTCTTTAGTATGATGGCTTTAAAAAAAATACATCTAAAAAGGGATGAAAGTAAACATCTATGATATCAACATCCAGAGACAGCCAATATCAACTGGAGTTACTTTTTTTTTCCAGCAGAGTATCCAGGAACTCAACTCAATTCTGACACTATCTGCCCAGAGACAGCACCAGATTCCCCAGGTTAAGGATTCCATCCTACAAGACTGCCTTCCATTCCCCACTCCAGATGCCAGTCGCAAGCCCCAGACAGTTACCTGTGCATCTGACCAACCAGCTAAAAATGGGAAGTTCCGGGGACTTCCACCTTAGGTCTGAATAATTTGCTAGACCAGCTCATATAACTCAGAGAAACACTTTCACCAGTTTAATAAAGGATACAGTAAATTATACAAGTTAACAGCCATGTGAAGAGATACATAGGCACTAGGCAGGGTCCCAAATAAAAGAGCTTCTAGCTTCATGAAGCTGGGGGCCTGGCTCGGTGGCACGTACCCTCTAGGGAGGAATGTCCATAATGGGAGAAGCCACACACATGTGAGGGAAGGGGAATTCTCTACACCTTCCTCTCAATTGTGCTGTAAACCTAAAACTGCTCTAAAAACACAGTCTTTAAAATATATATACACACATATATACTTACATTTCTTCTAAGAGAGTTACTACTAAAAGTAAATTTTGCCATATGAAATGCAAATTAGTCTTACCATCCATATTACCACCCACAAACAAATACACAATTAATGCTTAGTTCCTGTAATGACAGGCTTAATTATAAGGCTTCATTCAGCCCTTCCACAGCAACTTTATTTTTTTTACTGAGAAGAAAACAGAACAAGCAAGACCAGATGAAAGGACTATAGGAGGCATATTGAGATGGCTTATTTAAAAGCGAATAGCTTTAAACAGTAGACTGTGGTATATTACAAACATATACTGTTAATACCTAGAGCGACCCCTAAAAAACTATACAGAAAAGTACTCAAGGACATTATAAATAAATCAAAATGGAATTCTAAAACACATTCAATAACTCATAAGGAGAGAAATATAAAAGCAACAAAACAGAGAAAAGAAACATAAAATGATAAAATGGCGGGCTTAAAACAAAAGATTTACATTAAATGTAAGTGACATAAATGCACGATTAAATCTCACTCTGAGTCACAATTAAGACTGAGTCTAGGAGACTGGATTAAAAAAAACCTCTGCTGTCTATAAGAAACTCATCTCAAATATAATGATTCAGCAACTGATACAACAAGAAACAAAGACTCAGTAAGAATGCAGAAAATCCCCACTTTACATTCAATAAACTTTACACTGCACTGCACAATTGAAGAAAACACATTTTTTCAAACACAAATTTCAAAATTTAACCAACTACCAGAAGATAGTACAAATATCATTTTCAAATAAATGAAATGCAAAGTAATTTCTGATAATAATAGATGCAATTATAACAGATCTATAATAAAAAGAAAACAAGAGAATTCCCGTTTCCCATGTCCAAGTAATCAGTTTATTCCTACATAACCCACAGGCCTAAGAAAAACTATGAGAATTGGAAACTATTTTGAACTAAGGAATAACAAACATCAAACCAAAATCATTAGATGTAGCTACAAGAAAAATTATAGGCCTTCAGTGCCTACATTAAAAAATATAATCTCCATCATAATATGTACATAAATTAAAACAGGAACAAAATAAAAACAAAAAAAGTAGAAGGATGGAAACTATAGAGTATAAATTAACAAAATGGAAAACAAAAATAAAATGGAGAACATAAACAAAGCCAAAAGTTATTTCTTATCTAAGACTCATAAAACTAATACACCAATAAGCAAAGTTGGGAATGCCTAACACACTAAACACTCTGGGAGCATTAAAATCTTAATATTAAGACCAATCTTCCACAATTTCAGTAATTTGAAAATTTAGATGAAACAGACAACTCCTAGAAAAAGTACAATGTAGTGCTACCTAAAACAAAAACCTTAATGAGCATGTAACTGAATCAATAGACTTTCTGCAAACAACATGTCCAGATAGCTTCTCCAACAAATTCTCCAAACATTTGGCAAAGATATGCTTCCTAGATTACATAAATTCTTCCAGAAAAATAAAGAGGGCATATTCTCTAACTCACTTGATAAAACTAGCAATCTTTACAGCAAAACTGGACAAGATTAGTGTAAAAAAAAATTACCAATGTCACTAGACAAAAATCCTAAATAAAATATCAGCAAACCAAACAATATAGAAGAGGATATACATAATAACCACATGCAGTTTAAATAAGGGATTCAAGTAGGGTGAACAACTGTCCTGGTGGCGTATCCTAGAATACAGAATGTACAGTGATAATACTAGGATACTCCTAGGCAAATCAGGATGGTGGGTCACCCCAGGTAAAAAGTTGACTGATTTTTTAATGTTAAACCAATGTAATTATTCATAGAATGAAAAAAAATTCATATTATCTCAGATGCACAAAAATGTTGGTGAATACTCAACTTGCACTCATGATTAAAGGGAAAAAAATCCTTTTAGGAAACTGGGAATAGAAATTTACTTCCTTGAGTGACAAAAGTGCCTACAAGAAACCTACAGAAAACATCATACCTAATGGTGACACGTCGAAAGCTTTCACTTTGAGATCAGCACCAAGACTAGGCTGCCCCGCTATCACCACTTCTATTCATGATTGTACCGGATGTCCTAGCCAGCAGAGTAAGACAAGAAAAATAAATAAAAGATATAAGGATCATAAAGGGAGTAACTAAACTCTTTATTTACAAATGATGATGTGTACACGGAAAACAAAAGAATCTATAAATAAATTATTAGAATTAATGAAAGTTTAAGGTTGCTGGATTTTAAAAAGTCCATATAAAAAAATCAACTGTATTTCTATAT